GCAAGAGTGGAGGATTCCTTAGGTAAAGTGGTCAGACACTTCTGACCTCCACTTCCTACTGAGGTGGCCTCTAAGCTGAGCCCTCACTGACAGAAGGTAGCCAGCCAGACTTGGGTGTAGAAGAAATGTTTCCCAGAGAGCGGCAGTGGCAAGTGCAAAGGCCCTGAGGTAGGTCTGAGCTCAGAATGGCCAAAGAACAGAAAACCAACGTGGTGAGCAGGAACCAGGAAGGCAGAACGAACCGGCTCACCCAAGACCACAGCCTTGGTGAAGAGCTGGCGAGTTTTCTAAGAGTGAGGGAAACTCCCTAGAGAGTGCTGAGCAGAGGAACGGCATCGTATGACATGGTTTATATTTTAGCAGTTAATGCTGCTCCTAAGGGGATGAATCCAGAAATCGGACACGAATTCAAAAGACACGTCGACGTAACAGCAGAGCTGCTCCTTGCCATTACACTTGTCTTCCCTTCACAGTGCTTCTTATTTCAACTCCTCAATGGACTTCTGTGGCTGTTACAGGAGGGGAGAGACCAGTGAGTCTAGTTCCCTTTCACTTATTTGCCCAGCAAGGTCTCTTTACGTAACAAGGCAGACAGCGCTGTGACATCATCCCTGTTAGCACATGTCTAAACGGCCGGGTCGCCTAAGGCCACTGCTTGTTCTGATGTGACCCACATCAGCCTGGGGAGAAACAGAAGATGGAGAGGCTGAGATAATCGTCATGATGAAAAAATCACAATACAGTAAACCCATGCTACCGCTCCCAAGCTGGAACTAAGGCGATTTTACACCTGGATGCGATGGCCTCTTCGCACATACGCTGGGTTAAGAAGCACTGGAAACAACGGCCACTGGCAGAGTGTGCTTTTCACGAGCTCAGAAGACACTAGTACCTTTCCAAGCTCCTAAGAGCTACACCTTAGTTACAACTCCTGAAGGCAAGGGCCCGAGTACTCCGCTCACCAGTCAGAACTTGATTCAAATGGAAAGAATGAGTCCAAATGTCACCAGACTTCTCTGTGTACATAATTTCTTTGGGCAGAATTCTGCACAGTAGATTTCAAAAGCATTCTTCATAATTGTAGTTAAGCGTCACTCCCCCCACAACCAACCATTTTGAGAAAAAAGTCTACCCCTTTCTCTTTCAGATTCTTGGAACCAGAGAAAAAACACGTAGATGAAGATTTTAACTGAAAGGAAAAAAATAACGACAGAATTGTTTTCAAGAAAACAAAAGCCTGATTTCCATCGTTAAACTACCCTGGTGAAAAACAGATATTTGGGGAAAAAAGAATTTTAGCGATAAGACTGTGAGGACGGCAGCTGAATTTAAAAATAGTCTTATTTTGAACTTTTAGAGTTTAGGCAAGGAGCCAGCTGTTAACAATTTTTCCTTAATTAGCCCTAAGATGTTTGTATAGACAATGAAAATTGGCAAGAAGGAAAATTATCACAGTAGATCTGAACTCAAACGCCTCTGGGGGTAGGGCAGGTAATATAAGTATTTTGTTTTTCTTTTCCAAAAATTTTTTTAATTGCCAGAGGGTGTGTGTGTGCTTAACAGAGACAGAGAGAAAGGGAGGAGAAAGCCCCCCTGTGAGGTACAGTCATGAGCAATCCTTTCTTCTACATCCCATCAAGATTTGGGGCATGTTGGGAACCAGCAGTTAGCATAATGGCTATGTCGCTGAATTCCCACGTAGTTGACCGCGGTTCGCGTCCCGGACCCGGTGGCTTAAAACTCACGCCAGGCGCGTGTGCGTGTGTGCCCAAGATCCTGAGAGGAGAATGGAGGAGAAGGGATTGCGGCGTGACCATCTCCCCTGGGGGGGGTGATTTCTCGCTTTCTGTCTCTATGTCTCTGTCTGTCTGTCTGGCGAGTGCACGCACCCTATAGCGCAAACCTCTCAAAAAAAAAAAACTAAAAAAAACTAAAAAAAAAAAGATTTGGGGCATGCATGCACACACATGCCAGATGTGGTTTTCAAGCCATCAAGGCCAGGATTTGAACTCCAATTGGCCATGTGGGATCTGACTACCTAAAAGGCCAGCCTAATATAAGTACTCTAACTGGTTAGGTGTACAATGAAAAAAAAAAAAAAAGAGCCTGAATCAAAAAGGATTTTTAAAAAATGCCACTGTTGATATCGGCAGATGGCATAATGGTTACGTTGCTGGACTCCCACATAGTCAACTCCAGTTCAAGTCCCAGACCCGGTGGCTTAAAACCCATGACAGGTGCATGTGCACCCAAAATCCCAAGAGGAGATTGGAGGAGAACAGACTGCAGCATGGCCATCTCCCCAGGGGATGATTTTTTGCTTTCTGTCTCTCTCTCTCCAGCAAGAGCACACACCCTATAACAAAAATCTCTCTTAAAAAAAAAAATGAAAAGAAAGAAAATGCCATTGTTGCCCCAAAACAAAACAAAACAAAAATACCTATTTGGGTTTAATTCTACCCATACATTGAAGACATCAACTGCTACTACAGCACAGGGAGGGCAAGCTGGTCTGTCCAAGTTAATAAGGGTTCAGATTTCTCCAACCCTTCAGATAGCAGAGGCCTTTCCACTCAGGCAGGCAGAGGCCCGCCTCACTGCCTCCCAATCTTGAGATGCCTAGAACATGAGAGGGGCTATTAAAAACATATCACCAGGGGTCAACAGACAGCATGGTGGTAATGGTGCTGGACTCCCACATGGCCAACTGTAGTTCAAGTCCTGAATACAGTGACTTGAAAATCACACCGGGCACATGTGCATGCATGCTCAAAATCCCAGGTGGAGAGTGGAGTACAGGGGATTACGGTGTGGCTGTCCCCTCTTGGGGGTAATTTTTCATTTTCTCTCTCTGTTTCTCTGTGGGGAATACATATGCCCTATGGCAAAAAAGTGGGGAAAAAAAAAAAGTATCACCACAAGTGATTTGGTGGAGCAGAAAGTCCCGTAGAAACACTGCATGCACTGCATTCAATTTAAAAAACAGTAAAATGGGGACCAGCAGATGGCATAATGGTTACACTACTGGAGTCCCATGTAGTCAACTATGGTTCAAGTCCCAGACCTAGGGGCTTAAACCTCATGCCAGGCATAAGAACATGTATGCCCAAGATCCTGAGAGAATGGAAGAGAAGGGATTGCCGCATGGCCATCCCCCATGGGGGGATGATTTCTCGCTTTCTGTATTTCTGTCACTCTGTCTCTGTGTTGAGCACACACCCCCTATAGCAAAAATCTCTCTTAAAAAAAAAAAGTAAAACAAATGAGATTAACTTTAATAATCTACATTAATTTAACTCATCCAAAATATGTCAACACATAATCAATAAAAAAAAATTATGAGTGACCTCTTCTATGGCCTTTCACTTATACTAAATCTTTGAAATTCACTTTGTCTTTGCTGGATTCCCAGTAGATCTCCTCTCCCAGGACTAGCCACAGTGGCCAGCAGTCAGCAGTCAGCACGCTATGTGGCCCAACTGTAGCACTAAGAGCAAGGCTCTGGACGGTGGCAGGGCCTTGGGCAAGACCCTGACACTTCTGCACTGGCTTTATCCATCTATTCTGAAACAAGATAGGTCCGGAGAGCTCTTGTAGACCTAAACGTCTGTAGAGTTCTTTTTCTGAAAAATGTGCCCATTATATCGTTTTAAAAAGTCAGATGAATATGAAGAGGAAGAAATCGGGAAAGGGAAGATGAGGAAGGAAAGAAGTTAAGGACATAGGAAGGAAAAAAGGAAAGAGGTCAATTACGGGCTACGGGGCTAGACAGTGGCAAAGCAGTGAAATACAACACTCTGCAAGGCTGACCCTCAAGAGAAAGTTCCAGGTCTCTGTCCAGAGACCTCCCTGAGAATGCCGGGCACATATGTGCCCATGATCCAGGGCTAGCTGGGGGTGGATCACAGCACGGACTCTGTTGGGGGTCCCATTTCTCTGTCTCTGTCATTCTCATTCCTAGAACTAATAAAAAGAAAACTTAAAAAAAAGAGGCTATGAGTTCCTGTTGCTGACAGCTCCTCATCTCCTGGGGAAGTAAAACTGCTGGGAGCAGTGGAAGTGGGGTGAAGGGGAACAACTTCATCTCTCTAGCTGGTACAGATGAGAATGTCTCCCTGGAGCTTGGGGCGTGAGAAGGACGAATGAAGGAAAAGGCAACCACAGCTGGGAGCTCACATCTCCAGACACATCATCAGTACCGCTTTATATGACAAAGGAAATTCATCATCCACTTGTCCCATTATAACCTCCTGAGAATTTAAAATTGATTGGCAGTAAATTGAATGCCAACATCACCTGAGTATAGATGGCAGCGTCAAAGCATCTGTTACTATTGATTTACTAGACATTGTTCTTTTTTTTTTTTTTTAGAGAAAGATTTTTGCGTGTGCTTGCCAGAGAGGGAAAAGACAAAAAGACAGAAAGCAAGAAATCACCCCAATGGAGGGATGGCCATGCCGCAATCCCTTCTCCTCCAGTCGCCTCTTGGGATTTTGGGCACACATGCAGTCACCCAGCGAGAGTTTCAAGCCTCTGAATCCAGGACTCGAACCATGGTTGGCCATGTGGGAATACAGCGACGTGACCATTAGGCCATCTGCTGGTCCCAACACTGTTCTTTAATATCTATTGATAGTATATAACGTTGGCTTTTTTAAAGAAAATTACATCTTAGAGAAGATACAAAGGAAAAATACTAAAATGTCAAACATAAGAGGCAAATAAATTGGTAGGAAAGTTAGCTGAATCACATGTGTCATTTATAAGTCTTGCAGATTCAAATTCTTGCCCAAATTCGTAGCCAGGCCTATTTGAAAACCTAATGTTTTTAGAAAATTGAGATCATCAGAAATCTTCAAAGGTGTTTCTTTTACTTTTCATACAGCAATTAAATTTAAAACTGTATCGAGTCTCAATAAATCCTGATTTGATTTCAAAAAAAAAAAAACTTCTAATCCTAACTCCAGGGCAGAATAATACCATGGCACACCCAAAGTTACCTGGTAAGACACTGCGATTATCCACACACATGGAGAAGATGCGCTCGTAGACAAGCTTGCCTGGGAAGAAGGACACATGGTGTTAGCATCACACTCCTCCTGAGCAAACACTAAATAAACGTGTATTCACTGGGGGCTCATGGACAGTGCTCGCACACTTCCACTTGTGATACTCTGCTGCCACCTACTGGGACACACTTTAAACCTTGTGTCTTTTGTTTGAATTTTCTAATCTTTTTTAAAAGAATTATTTCACTTAACTCATTGATTTATTTACTTATATCATTTTAATGTGATCAGAGAAGGACAGAGTGAGAGAGAGAGAGAGAGAGGGGAGTGGAGTGAGAAAGCAAGCCACCAGGTCTGGGACTCGAGCTATAGTTGGCCATGTGGGAGTCCAGCACCCTTAACCACCACGTCACCTGACAGCCTCTGGTTTTTCTAATCTTAAAAAAAATCTTTAGGGACCAGCAGGTGGTGTGGTGGTTAAAGTGCTAAACACTCCCACATGGCTGACCACGGTTCAAGTCCTGGACCTGGTGGCTTGCTTTCTCACTTTCCTTCTCTTTCTGTGTCTCTCTCTGGTCAAATCAAAATAAAATGAATAAATGAATAAAATTAAATAAGTTTTTTTAAAAAAGAATTCTCTATTACTTTAAAAAAAATCTTTAAAGGGCGCACGTTTGTTAATTACGTACAAAAGATTGTACTGACATGGTTCAATTCTCAAGATGTTCTTTAAAGATGGCTTAAATGGCTCGTATCATCGCTTACAAGTGTGTCTGGGGGCCAACAGGTGGTATGGAGGTTAAGGTGCTGAATCCCACATAGCCAGCTTCATGGTACGAGTCCCAGACCCCGTGGCGAGAACTGTGCTGGGCTCTGATAGCAATAGTCCAGGAACACCTGGGCCATCAGGAATATTGTCAAACTCCCCCGGTGATTTCAATGTACAGCCACGGCTGCGAAGAGCTGTTCTAACCACTCTTCCAAGTAAAAGCTCTAGGAAAGGCTCAGAGAACAGGACCCAGTACTCGAAGCTGCCTGCCTTCTTCCTCCTGGTAGGACATGGGACCTGAGGGTCCCCATGGCAGTCACACCTGGTGCAGAGAGGACTCCCCTGTGATGACTACAGAACTCTACCCTGGGGTAGTGTGAGATTTCACCTCCTCGCTCACACAGCATGCCGTGGTGGGCAGCCGTGTAGCTTCTCACCTCCTCTGGGCACAGAATGGCCTTCATGTGAAAGGCCATTACCTCCTCTCCAGAAAGCTGCCTATCTCTAAAACTCTCAGGTCATTGGAAAAGTCGTGACGTATTTAAAATGGGCCATGACTTCTCCGACGACTCAATAGTTTCTTTAGAAAAAAAAAATATGCAAGGGCAAGTAGGTAGTGTGGTGTTGAGACGCTGGGCCCCACATGGACGATTGTGGTTCAAGTCCCAGATTGGGCAGCTTGAAAGTCATGCTGGGCACATGTACGTTGTGGCGAAACCCTGGGAAGAGACTGGAGGAGAAGGGATGTGGCATGGTCATCTACCCAGAGGGTGATTCTCACTCCCCCCCGTCTCTGTCTCTGGTGAGTGTACACACCCTACAGCCAAAAGCTAATATATATATATACATATATACACACACACACACACACACAATATATATATCTTTTTATTTCACAATCATATTATGAAAGGCCTTTCAATGAAGTTACATTTGACTGCATCGGCTATTTTTCTCTTGTTAAGCCAGCGGGCAACTGTTATGAAAATAATACCCAATCCCAGATTTAATTCCTGCCTTGATTAGCCTTCTTACAAACCAAGGACACTGAAATAGCTAAATACTAAGTGGCAACAGCTGGCATTCTCTGAGCACATACTTTGTGCCAGCCATTATTCAACTCTGTCCACTCTGATCTGGCAGGCAAGCTCTCAGAAGACCAAAAAAAAAAAAAAAGGTACATCTTTCTTTCTAAGCATTTTTCATTTAATTCTTTCCAGAAACGCTCAGAGGCAGGGCCTGTATGTACCCACTTTACAGGTGAAAGGCTGAGGCCCAAGTTCACACAACTCTGAAGGAGAAAAAGCAGGTGAGGAAGCCAGAAGGTCACCCGTCTGCCCACTACCTCTGGTGACGGCACCTGTCTTTTTACTGAGCGTTCTGGTCTCTGGATGCCAGGGGCCATGCCCTCCGCCACACACCAGCGCAGGAAGATGATCCAACTCTCTGCCAATCAGGTCAACAAGCACTCAGCACCTGTCCCGTGTGGCCACGCATCTTCTCACGGAGCAGATGGTAACGACAATGTATGGAAAGACTGGCCTCAGGACTCCAAAATCCTACCCATGCTGGACAGGGTTCCAGTCCTTCCTTTTGTTTTTTTTAAAGAGCTCTATGGCATGTGTGCTCACCAGAGACACAGAGAAAGTGAGAGACCACCTCCCGCACCACTATCCCTTCACCTCCATTTTCTTCTCAGGATTTTGGGTATGCACGCAGACCCAGACGATGCATCACCTTGAGAGAACTCACATGTCCAGCATGAGTTTCAAGCCGCCAGATCCCAGACTCAAACCATGGCCAACATGTGGAGTCCAGCACCTTAATCACTACGCCACTGCTGACCCCACATTTCTTTTCTTAAAGTGAAAATTCATTCTCCCCAGAGAACTGCAAAGCTCTGAGCACCCACTGATATAGACTGCCTCACCAGGCCTAAGGAATATTACTCCCAACAGATTCAAACGAGGGCAGCCCTGGGTATCATGCTCATTTTTCCTCCTTCCTCACTCAAAAAGTAACATACCCTGTAGGTGCCCTGCAACCTGACTTTGCCAACACACCCTTGAGCCCTTTCCCTCTGGCTACACAGCACATATCTTCGTCCAGCCTTGGAGCCTTCAGGATTCCACAGCACAGACCTACTGCAATTTATTTAAGTGCTGCCTAATCGACAGCCACCTGGGTTCTTCCCAATCTTTTGTTATTACAGATGGGATAAATTCCCAGAGGTGAAATTGCTGGCTCAATAGTACACATATTTGTAATCTTCATGCCGTGTGATATTCCCCCAAGAAAGGTGTGAGCGACAAAGCAGACCAGGTGTGATGACCACAGAGCATTACTGACACTCACCATGCTGGTGACCTTGGTCTAACTACTTTACTTCTCTGTGCCTCAGATTTTCCTCTATAAAATGGGGGCAGTAATGGGCTCTATCTCACAGGGCTGTTGTACAGACCACATGACTTCACATCTCTAAAGCACCAAGAATAGTCTGGCCCAGGGGCAGTATTTGTTGAGCATTTACCACGGTTCCCCAACTCCCTGCCCGGCTATTTCTGGGGCATGGCAAGGACAGGAGGCATCAGATGGGCTCCATCCCAGCTTGCCGAGGTATGGGTCCGGGAGCCACCTGCAGGTGCTGGCGGGTGAGCCAGCCAAGGTTCTCTCAAGGTGATGCATCGTCTGGATCTGGCCAGGCTTGCAGGGTAGATGCATCTGCACCCAGAGCTGGTCTCACTCTGGGATGCTGACTCACTCAGAAGACCAAAAAAAAAAAAAAAGGTACATCTTTCTTTCTAAGCATTTTTCATTTAATTCTTTCCAGAAACGCTCAGAGGCAGGGCCTGTATGTACCCACTTTACAGGTGAACAGCTGAAGCCCGAAAGGTCACCCGTCTGCCCACTACCTCTGGTGACGGCACCTGTCTTTTTACTGAGCGTTCTGGTCTCTGGATGCCAGGGGCCATGCCCTCCGCCACACACCAGCGCAGGAAGATGATCCAACTCTCTGCCAATCAGGTCAACAAGCACTCAGCACCTGTCCCGTGTGGCCACGCATCTTCTCACGGAGCAGATGGTAACGACAATGTATGGAAAGACTGGCCTCAGGACTCCAAAATCCTACCCATGCTGGACAGGGTTCCAGTCCTTCCTTTTGTTTTTTTTAAAGAGCTCTATGGCATGTGTGCTCACCAGAGACACAGAGAAAGTGAGAGACCACCTCCCGCACCACTATCCCTTCACCTCCATTTTCTTCTCAGGATTTTGGGTATGCACGCAGACCCAGACGATGCATCACCTTGAGAGAACTCACATGTCCAGCATGAGTTTCAAGCCGCCAGATCCCAGACTCAAACCATGGCCAACATGTGGAGTCCAGCACCTTAATCACTACGCCACTGCTGACCCCACATTTCTTTTCTTAAAGTGAAAATTCATTCTCCCCAGAGAACTGCAAAGCTCTGAGCACCCACTGATATAGACTGCCTCACCAGGCCTAAGGAATATTACTCCCAACAGATTCAAACGAGGGCAGCCCTGGGTATCATGCTCATTTTTCCTCCTTCCTCACTCAAAAAGTAACATACCCTGTAGGTGCCCTGCAACCTGACTTTGCCAACACACCCTTGAGCCCTTTCCCTCTGGCTACACAGCACATATCTTCGTCCAGCCTTGGAGCCTTCAGGATTCCACAGCACAGACCTACTGCAATTTATTTAAGTGCTGCCTAATCGACAGCCACCTGGGTTCTTCCCAATCTTTTGTTATTACAGATGGGATAAATTCCCAGAGGTGAAATTGCTGGCTCAATAGTACACATATTTGTAATCTTCATGCCGTGTGATATTCCCCCAAGAAAGGTGTGAGCGACAAAGCAGACCAGGTGTGATGACCACAGAGCATTACTGACACTCACCATGCTGGTGACCTTGGTCTAACTACTTTACTTCTCTGTGCCTCAGATTTTCCTCTATAAAATGGGGGCAGTAATGGGCTCTATCTCACAGGGCTGTTGTACAGACCACATGACTTCACATCTCTAAAGCACCAAGAATAGTCTGGCCCAGGGGCAGTATTTGTTGAGCATTTACCACGGTTCCCCAACTCCCTGCCCGGCTATTTCTGGGGCATGGCAAGGACAGGAGGCATCAGATGGGCTCCATCCCAGCTTGCCGAGGTATGGGTCCGGGAGCCACCTGCAGGTGCTGGCGGGTGAGCCAGCCAAGGTTCTCTCAAGGTGATGCATCGTCTGGATCTGGCCAGGCTTGCAGGGTAGATGCATCTGCACCCAGAGCTGGTCTCACTCTGGGATGCTGACTCATGCAAAAGACACTTGCAGCGGCTGGCAAGGAAATCAGGAGCCAATGTGCTGATTCACCGGGAGAAGCAGACGCCTCTGCTGCCCTGCTCCCTACAGACGACTGTGTGGGAGGACCCATCAAGCCCAAGTGGTGGCTGGTCTTTGGGCCCCTGAGGGCCCAAAGCACCTATCGCTCCAGATCATCCCTCCAGCCCTGCCACGTCCTCAGGGCCACACCACCCTCACCTGCAGGCTGTAACACCAAACGAGCCAGGTGTCCCTGCAGCCCCACCTGAAGTCTCAATGTAGCAGCTACAGGGAGCCATTAGAACACAAGTCAGAGCGTGGCCCTCCTCTGCTTATCACCCTCTGCTGGCTCCTCATGCTCTTAAACTGAAAGCCCGAGTCCTCCCGGGCTGACCAGGCCTGCCATGATCTCCAACGACATGGCTCCTGCTCCTCGCCCCATGCTCCCCCTATCCCAGCCACTTTGGCCTCCTGCAGCTACTCCTTGGCCTAACCTGCCCCACCCCACCTTCTGCCCCATAGAGCCACAAGCCCCTTTGAACACTCTGTCTAAAATCACAACCCTCCTCTCGCCCTTGCCCAGTTCCCTCCATTCCTGGTTACCCCTCACCCTGGTTCTCCACAGGAGTGGTCACCCTCTAACACTCGGTGATTGGGCTCACTTGGCTGCTCAGATTCTCTGTCTTTTTTGGAACCTTAGCAACACAACGGCTGGGACTTTTGTATCTTCTATTTGCCTGATGCCACGTCTTAGGATCATCTGAACCCAACAAGTCCTGTCTTTCAGCTGGGACATCTCTTCTTTTTGCCCAGTTAGTACCCACTCCCCTTTCTTCTGGTAACCACATCACCTCTTTTAGGAGGGCACAGGACTCTAGTCAGCTAGTTCATGCCCTGATGCCAAATGGCTCGAGAACTGACACGTGAGCCAAGCCAGACCAGCAAGATGGAATTCCAGGACTTCTGTCAGAATGCTTGCAGAAGGGAGCTCTCTCCTTGCCTGAGACCACTAGCAGTAAAGCTGAGAAAAGCTGAGTCAGTCTAGATTTTTCCAGACTGCATGGCTTTGAAAGGTCATTCTGCCTGGGGCATGGCGCATTAAGACTAGGAGCAGAGAAGATGATGCAGCAAGACTTCAGAGAGCTGCAGCAGGAGGAGAGGACTATGGCTAGGATTAAGGCTTCAACAGCAGACAGAAAAATGAACACAACAGAGAGAGATTATTAAGGAGCTGAAACCGAAGAACTTGGTGCCTGGACACGGACACGTGGGAAGACACTCCCAGATGTCTAGCCTGGGCAATGGAGCACACCCAGTGCCATCCCAGTGGGGGCAGGGGAAGGGAAGGAAGATGCCATGTTCGGTTCTGAACAAATGAGCTTCAGATAGAGCCAGTTCAGACTGGATGCATGGTCCCCACCTTGCCTCACTTTAGTCACTTTACTAACCCATCAGATGACAGAAAGTAGAATCTTCTTTTAAAAACAGCACCCTTGATACTGGGCATGGGGGTGATTTGAGCTCCCACATGACCTACCTAGTTACTGAAACCAGAGTAGAACCTAATTTATTACATATGTATGTATGTAGAGATTTTTGCTATAGGATACATGTGCTCACCAGAGACAGAAAGGGAGATGGTCATGCCACAGTTCCTTTTCCTTCATTCTCCTCTCAGGATTTTGGGCACACATGCACACACCCAGCACACACAACAGCGTGAGTTTCAAGCTGTCAGGTCCAGGACTTGGAACCATGGTCGACCATGTGGGAGACCAGTGCCTTACCCACTATGCCACCTGCTGGCCCCTGCAGAATCTAATTTAAAGCAACTCTACCACCCAGCTCTTGACAAAACATATTCCTAAGATTTCTTTAAAGTTTATTCACTATTTCTTTATTCATGTATTTCTTCTATGAGAAAGAAATCATTTCTAAGAAATCATAGAAGAAATAAATGAAAGAGAATTATTTATTTCCTCTCATAAAAGAGAGAGAAACAGAGAGAGGCACCCCCAACAGGATCTTCTCACAGTAATTCCCCCATCTCAGCTGGCCCAGACCATGGGCACACGTGTGCATGCCGGCATGCTCGGGGAGGACCCTGACACCAACCGGGGACCTATCCCACTAGGTCCAGTTGTGTTACCACTGGGCCACCACCTGCCCTCCCTAGATTTAAGAGGGCTATACTAGGTACTTACCAAATGTATCGAGGATGTCTGTGATAAGGACAAACTTGCTTGGGTAGAACTGAATTACACTTGTATCCGAAAGAAGCTTTGAACACTAGAAACAGAAAAAAGCAAAGAAAATTCACTCCGGCTGTCAGAGCTGGATAGGACACTCCAGGCCTGGAAAATGAATCATTTCTGTGAACAAGTTCAGATTCTTGTCCTGTGCCAAGCCTGGGCTAGGCATTGGGACATAATAAAAGCAAAACCTTAAAGTTTTTCATTCCTTCTGAGAGAGAGAGAGAGAGCAGAGGAAGAGACAGATGGGAGGTGAGAGGGAGGGGTAGGAAGAGCTCTCAAGCCACGGTTTACCCCAGCAACAACCAGTCTGGATCAAGGGCACACATGCACCTGGCATGAGCAGGGAGATCTCCAGCCCCTTCCACGATGGCCCAGCATCACAGAGCACTGCAGCCGGCCTGTCTGTGCTTCTCACACTGGGAGCCAGACTGCTCACCACCAAGCTTAGGAAAAAAAGACACTATCAGGGCTGGCTGATGGCGTGGTGGACTCCCACATGGCCGACTGTGGTTCAAGTCCTGGACTGGTAGCTTGCTTTCTCACTTTCTCTCTCTCTCTCTGTTCCTCTCTGGTCAAATTAAAACAAATAAATAAAATAATTCTTAAAAAAAAAAAAAAAAAGACACTAACACCTTGTTCAAGAAAAACCACAGGACAGGAAATCGTACTTAGAAGGGCCCTGGGTCTATACTGAATCAGAATCGGCACCCCAACCCACTGAGAGAGTGAATCACAACCCTCTCAGGAGACCCCATCTTTGTTCCACCTGCTTTCCAGCCTGGCTTCCTCTAGTTTACGCCATGGTGGTCTAGATTCTTAAATGTTCTTTGCTATGAAATGACAACATAAGAAAAGTCCTATGGCTTTTTCTTCTTTTTAAGAATTACTTATTTAACTCCATTTGTTGCTATTAATACTTTTTAATTTGACCAGAGAGAGAGAGAGAGAAAGTAGGAAAGCAAGCCACCAGGTCTGGGGCTACAACTGGCCATGTGGGAGTCCAGCACCTTAACCACCACACCACCTGCGGGGCCGTCCCTATGGCCTCTTAAACTCACGTTGGTTATTTATACTCATTCCAAATTTCCCTCTGAAAGGAAACATGACCAGCTTCAAAGACTGCATGTTTCCCTGGAACAAGGATTTTCATGCAGGGAACATTTCAGCTGTGCAAGGAATTAATCTCTACACTCTTACTCATGACACAGGGCCACTGACATAATCAGGACTCCTAACAGAAGACTACTGGCACACACCATGATCTCAGACACCCCAGATTAAGTCACCTTTTATCATCAGAAACAAAAAATGCTACTTCTACTTTGAAGAAATTAAAGTCCTAAAATGCTTAAAAATTCAAAAGTCAACAAAAAGAATTAGATAGCTTTGCTGTGTTTTATCATTCCAATGGTTGACTCATACATAGAAAAATGTTACTTAAGAATTTAAAAATCCGGGGACCAGCAGTTAGCATAATGGCTATGTTGCTGGACTCCCATGTAGTCGACCACGGTTCGAGTCCTGGACCTGGTGACTTAAACTCACACCGGGCGCGTGCCCAGGATCCTGAGAAGAGAATGGAGGAGAAAGGATTGCAGCATGGCCATCCCCCCTGGGGGGGGGGGCTGATTTCTCACTTTCTGTCTCTCTCTTTCTGGCGAGCGCACACACCCTATAGCAAAAACCTCTCCAAAAAAGAAAAAAAAAAAATTTTTTTTAAATCTGGGACCAGAAAGTAGTGTGGTGGTTAAAGCACTGGATTCCCACATGCTGGCCATGATTCGAGTCTTGGACATGGCAGCTTAAAAATTATGCAGGATGCATGTGCGTGTATGCCCAAATTCTCAAGAGGAGGATGGAGAAGGGATTGCAGCATGGTTATCCCTGGGATGTGATTTCTCACTTTCCCGCTCTCTGTCTCACTCCTCTCTGGCAAGCACACACACCCTATGGCAAAAACATACATACATAAACCATAGTAAAATAAAAGTCTGGGCTGGCTCCATGGCACAGCAGTAATGCACTGCTCAAGAGAAGCTGGATCCTACAAGGTAACACAGTTCAAATCCTAGACCCGGTCTACCTGAAATATGCTGGGCATGTGTGAATACCCAGCATCTAATCTGCTGGAGGACTGGAGGAGGGAGATTACAGTGTGACCAGATTCAGTAATGCCTCCTCTCTCTCTCTCTCTCTCTCTGTCTCTGTCTCTCTCTCTCTCTCTCATAGTCTCACATATGCATGCACACTTCTATTATGAGTAAATCATTCTATCATGAGTAAAGAAAACAAACAAAAATTATTGAATATTTAAAAATTATTGGATATTTAATAGGCACTTCCACTATGCAGAGAAGAGTTACAACACCTGCCATGCCAGGAGATAGGCAGAGACGTGTTTCCAGCGTGGTGCTGTTACCCCACGTCTGAACCACGCATTACCAGCTTCTCCTCAGCGTTACTTGCCGCCAAGGAAGTAACGTGTCTGACTGTGAAACACCCTCTTGCAGCCCAGATGTTATTTGGGGGAAATGTAAGCTGTTAAAACAATGGCACTGATTCCAAACACAGTGCTTGGATGTATGTGGAATTCCATTTCCTGAGGCCTCCGCCTTGTGATTTTCATATGCCCTTTAAGAGAGCTCCAACTTAAACACTTGCCCCATGAGATCTCAGAGCTGGAAAACAAAAAACAAACAGCTCGGACTCCTAGAGACTGTTTACAACACAGCACTCGGTTCCCAGGGAAGCAGCATCTCCTGAGTTCCTACCCAGAGTCCAGCTTCCAGAGCCTCTTGGAGATGAGGTTTTGCCCACTAGTGAAGTCAGAGAAGATTCAAACAGAAGATTCCAAATTAAACACAGCTGGGGCTTCCCTAACATCTGTGCACTGATTTTCTCCTAAGCTGGTTTCAAGCTGGTTTCACAGAATATATATTTCATAAAGAATAACAGGAACAAGAAATTATTAAAGCCATAATTATCTTATGACATTGCCTTTTTTTTAAAGTTTATTTATGTCTTTCATATGAAAGACAAAGAGACAAGACCCTCAATAGGGTCTCAAACCATCATCCCCATCCCCAAACCTTTCAACCAGCCAGAATGCCTGACACATACTGTGTGAACAGGTTGACCAAGGAACCGAACCCTGATCTTCTATTCAACCTCCAGCATCGCAGGGCCTGTGTCTCTGGTGTGCCACAGTGACTGGTCTGTACTTATCTTTCGAATTACTATTCTGAAGATGCCAAAGCTGTTAAAACTTTAGTGCCATTTCCTAAACTGATAAGAATCAGGTATCCTGGTGTCTGTGTGTGTTAAAAACACAAACTTCCTGCTCCACGCCAAACCTACTGGTCACGACCTCCAGCCGAGGCACCAGAGAGTTGGTGTCTGTAACCAGGACTGCAGGTGATTCCCGCACATGGGCACACTTGGAAACACAGGACTCATGCTGACCATGGTCTGAGGTGTGCTCTGAAGGAACAAAGCATTCTGTAAAGCAACCGTTTCCAACCTAGGAGGAACTACCCAGGGAACCCTTAGGAAGAATGGGACCTAGGTCCCACACCCAGAGACTGATTAAACTGTCTGGGGTACAGCCTGGACACCAGGACGTTTTTTAATGCTCCTAAGTGATACGTGCCCTATAGCAAAAATCTCTCTAAATAAATACATACCTCGATAAAGAGGCCAGCTGTCTAACCTGCAAAACCCAACTTTACTACAGCGCAAATAAGATTTCTCCATAATCTGCATCAGATTTTTTTTTAAATGAACTGTAAAGCACCTTTACTCATGTAGAGCACATGCACATTAGAGAGAGTGAGAGGGAGATGAGGGTCTGGTCATGCCATGATCCCCTTCCTGCCCTCCTCCAGTCTGTAGGATCTCGGGCATTTGCATGTACCCACTGTGTTTCAGGCTGATGGGGCTGGGGATCTGAACCATGGTTGCCAGATTATCTTTTTTGGATAAAGGAGTCTTATAGAATTGCTAGTATTAACCAGATGTGGAGTTAATTAAACACTGTTGTGATTACTTTAAGAAAACAGAAATCGAACTAGTCCAGATGTAAAATTCTTAGAAGTCACAGTCCTATACCTCAATAGTCCGTGGAGAGACACTGCCAATGAAAACATCTTGAAGAAGCACTTGTGAGTCCAGATAGCTCCTCATTCGAGCCTGTCAGCAAGCAACCCCTAGATCGTGCATCCAGGAGAGGATGGCTTGTGGGTAGTACTGACTCTGTAAACTAACAGAGATTGAAGAGACATGGGTGTTGGCTTAAGTCCCTTCACCAAACACCAACACAAGAAGTCGTCTCAAAAGACTTCAAGTGTCTGGTGTAAAGACTGCCAGGCTCTTCTCCGAGAGTTGAAAGAAACAGGTGAGAAAACAAATGTCACACTGTCATAACCCCAAGTGAGAATGGGATCCATCCTTTGAACTAAAATGTCTGTTCAGCAATCCTTTAACTCTGCTCTGAAAATGGTAATAGAGATTCACAGGAACTGTTCCTTTTAGAGTGCACTACTGAGTGTATTTTGCCAAGACAGGATGATTGATCTTGAAGGCGAACAAACAGAATAAGCTGTTTTTCTTACAGGATTTGCTATTGTCATCCAAGAGTTGTTGCTGGATCAACATCAACAAGATAATTCAATGAATGAACTTTTCCTAACACTGTAAATATGTTTTTCTTGTTATATAATTATGTAGAATATCTTTAAATGTATACTTCAGGGATACCTAGCCATCAGTCCCAAAGATGCCAAGCCAACCTGGTCAAGGAAACCTGAAAGACAGCTGTTCGATCTTTAGTGTGTACAAATCATGTGTCAGGAGTCGGACCCATACCAATGTATGCACAACCCAAGGGGTAACATTAACTTTATTCATCTAATTGAAGAGGGCTTCCTAGAACTGCGCAGTGGCCCTGGGATTAGCTATCTCACAGAAACACAGATTTGTAATTAGGCCCTTTCAGAGGACGTATGTGAAAAAGAAAACAGAAAAAGTGAGGGTAAGACCTTGAAGGCAGACCTCTGAAAACTCTAATTATCCACAGAGGAGTTTTACATAGGAAATTCAGAAGGGGGTAGATTAAAAAATCACTAGACCTGACCTGGATGACTATTTTTAGAGCCTTCACTTTCTGGTCCGAGGCCCAAGCGTCCTTCAGCGACTGGTTGAGCTCTTCTATGCGGTTCACATAATCCTGCTGAGTCAGATTCAGCAGCTCCTTCTGGGATCCCTGTGGGCAGAAGGGAGAGGGTGTAAGAACACTGATAGCCACCACCTCCGTGAAGGATCCCGGGTACCAGCTGAGTGCCAGTCTCTAAGTTTTCCTAATATCCCCCCAAGACTGATAATTTTGTCTTGCAATCAAAGAGGTTCTTTGAGTTTTCTGCTCCAAACGGCTGAGGGTAGACTGGAGAAACTGGCCTTGGAGACAGATCGGATCTAAGCCGTCACCCAGCTCAGTTACTAGCTGGGTGATTGGGGGTGAATTGTTTCCCTACCCGAGCTTCATCTCTGAATGGCAATGACAGGACTTAACCACATTCCACAAATGGTTATTGGGGCCCACCACGTGACAGGCATGGAACTAGATGCTCCAGATACAAAGTCATTTTTGCCCAAGATGCTTGAGCAAAAAGACATTGTTTCTGTACTAAGGGAGCTCAAGGTACTAAGGATAAGATGGACACTGATGCACCTGCAATTAACGTTCAAGAGGAAATGCAATTCCATGAGGACTTGTATCACAGTTCATTGACTCTGAAGGGCCTGGTGAAAGGAGCACAACTGTTTCATGTGCCGCTAAGGGAGAAAAATCACTGATCACTGATGTGTTGCAACTGAGGGAAACGCTCCAATTTGGGAGATATGCAATTTAAGAGAAAAGGCTTGTTTTAGAATGAAAGAAATATGATAACAAAGAAATGGATTATAGACTGGAGCAGTAGGAATGGCTTCCTACAGGTAGTGATATTAAACTTCCAGTGAAGGGTAGGTGTTAACTAGGCACTGGGTGGAGAAGTACTGTTAAATAAACCTAAATGAAAATATTCAGGAAAGAGGAGAAACCACAGCAAAAGCCCGTGAGAGCAGAGAGTAAGACCATTGTGTGGATGAAATGACAATGTAGGTACAGACGTGGCAGCAGCCTCAGCTCACATGAAGTGCTTCTTAACCTGCAGCTCTTGCCAAAGGGCTCATAGGATTGCGGGCCGTGCTCACATACATGGTGAGACCAGGAACTATAACTCTTTTATATGCACCATTCCTGGAATACAAAGAATGTCTTATGTCTTTATCAAAGATATATGAGGAGAAGGTTCAGGAACTTGGACTGATCCCAACTGGTTGCTTGAACTGGTCACTTCCTGTCCCTTTCAGCTGGAAGAGCCACATGACAAGTTTGGGTGAATGGGCTGTGAACAGAGCAGCATGTGTCCCTTCTGGGCTGAGGTAATAAAAGATGACCCTCTCCTCTCTCCAGGCCCTGCAGTGAGACTGTGCAAGCCAAATGCTGAAATGGCAGCATGAGATATCTCTGCATTACACCTGCACTGGGCATGTAACATGAGCAAGAAATGTTACATTAAGCCACTGAGAGATGAAGGTTCACAAGGGGTCATCGAAAAGTTTATGGCAAATAGGTTATTATGAAAAAACTATACGTGAATTTCAATTGTTTTCTTTGCATCAAAAGAAACTCATTTTAATTCCATTTTTCTATGAATTTTCTGATTTCCCCTCGTGTTCGTTACTCAGCATAACCTAGCCTTATCCTTACTAACATATGTTAACTGGAAGCCACAGGACAGCCATCTGCTACTATGGGCAAGAAGAAGCAAGGAAACTAGCATATGAAGGAGAACTAAACTAAAGAGATTCAGTGACAAGAGGCTATACAGACCCAAGACAGACAGAGGGGCAGCTGCCATGTTTTGGGGTGGCTCTTCAGTTTCTGGTTTCAAGCATTGTGCCTTGGGATTCAGGGTCATGCTTTGTCTCCTTCCAGTATAGCTCCTATTTCCACCTGTAGCCTGTTCCACTGGCTGGCAGAAGACTCTGACTCAAGAGCTGTGACTGAAGCTCTTGGCAATCTGCTTACTCCCAGCCAAAGGTGGTTGATACTACACAGACTTAGGGTCCGGTATACCAGTTCAAAATGTGTCATTTCTGAATCAGGAAATAAGACATTGGGCCACTGGACTCTGCTGAGCATCCAATAGCTATTGGGACAAATCTGTACCAAGGGGCAAGAGGCAGGACAAGGCAATAACAACTGCTGTTATATGGCCCTGTGTGGGTTTCAAAGTACTTTCATTCAAACCACATGACTATTCTTTATCCCCCACTTAATAGGTGGAGATAGGTGTAGGAAAGGTGAATGCCTAAGGCCACCCGTTGGTAAGAATTCTAACTGCAGTGGGACCAGCAAGTGACATGGTGGTTACAGACACTGAGTCCCAGACCTGGCGGCTTGCTTTCTCACTTTCTCTCTCTTGCTCTGTCTCTCTCTGGTCAAATTAAAATAAATAAACAAAGTTAAATAATTCTTTGAAAAAAAAAACTGAAGTCTAACTATGGCCTCTAGACTTCGGATAAGACGGTGACAGCAGCTAACAGGTGCACAGTACACACCACACGCTCAGTGCCATTCTAAGCACTTCATATACATCAGCTCCTTTATCCCCTGGAACAACCTTATGGGTAGGTACCATTTAGCACTCTCGCTATACAGATAAGTAAACTGAGGCAGAGAAGAGTTGAACACTTTGCCCAAAATCACAAACTTCTTCAACAGTGGACCTGGGATTCAAACCCAGGCATGTGTTCTATGACAAAAAAAAAAAAACTTAAAAAAGTAATTCCTCCAGACCACATCCAGCCAGCAGAGCAGCCCTAGGCAGCCTTGTTGCAAGGTATAATCTTCAGACTACATAAGGCTGCTTCCCAGGGTGGGGACTCCAGTCAGTTTTTGTCACTAGACACTGTCCCCAGATGACCCAGGTCTGCTCAGGCATCACAATGAGAAGAGACGCCCTCAGAAAATGGGCCTGAGTCGGGCTTCCTTGAGCTCAGCCAACTGCACAGCTGGCATCTGGCCCTGGATCGAGCCGGTTCCTCGGGAGGACCGAGCACAATGCGCAGCTCAAGAATTAATCAAAGAGCAGCCACCCAGATTGATCGCACTTGGCAGAGGAACTAAATGCTCCTGTGTCCCCTGTGCTCAACAAACGACTTGCTCACCTCCTCAAAGTCATCCAGCTCCTCCAACCGGGTCCGGACCTTCTCTGACATTGCGGATGTGGTGGTCCCTGATCGGCCTAAACAGAATGGATTTGTGTCACCCAGATGGCTCTCCTCTTGCACCAATACCCCCTATGGAAGGCATCTCACGCCACACTTCATCATGAACAAAGATGCCAGCAAACGATTTCATTACAGAAAACCCTCCAAGATTTTGAAAGTAATGTCGTTGTGTAACTCAAGTTTCATCAGAAACACTTGCATGGAGAAGATGACCCTGGAGCACAGTGGGCCAGCCTCAGAGAGGTTAACCGCTATGTTTGATATTTACAGACTTCACTCTGATCATGTTTATTCCTAAAGAAAAGCGGTTGAGAAAAGGGTGCCAAAAAGCCATCATGTAATTGTTTTACATGAACAAAAGGTCCCCTCAGGCTCGTCCTCACAGTGTACAATTGTTGGGCCCTCACACCAACACAACGACCTCACTGTCTACCCAGAGGTGGACACTCAGGCTTCAAAGACCTCTCTTTGAGCAACAGGACTGGCTGTGCCTCCTCCCAGCATCTGTGAGCAGGGCCTGGTGGAAAGGGATGAAAGGAAGGACTCCAGGTTGCGGGCCACCCCAGGCAGGGCGATCTGTCCAGCCAGTGCTGCCTTCCTGTTCTGCCTGTTTCCGAACCCTTCCCATCTTCAGGGGGCTTATGCTCCAGCCCTGGGGTCATGTGGCTCACATCATCCCCTGGGTCTTCCCCACCAAGCCCACTACTGGGAATTAACCTTTATTCTCTTTTAAGGCACAGACTTCTCAACTCCGACACCAACTCAGGTTTAAGCTTATTACCAGCTGAGAGCGTGTTGCAGTTATTTCAAGACTAACAGCTGCTATGGTTATGATGGCTCCAAACAACGTGCACTTTATACCTTTATGTTGAAATATGATACACGGGGAAAGTAAATATGTGCACATTTTCGCACATTATAAAATCCCGGGAAATACCACCAGGTTAGATAAGGCCCTGCTGCTTTCGTTCCCAGTAACTTTGATTCACGACACACACCCATGTTACAACACACAGCTATACTGCACTCATTCTCCCTCCTGTTTATTCTTTTCCACTGTGTGAACCTACCACAATTTATTTAACTGCTGGTAGAAGTCTAGGGTGGTTCCTGTTTAGAGCTACAGACACTTCTGTGCCGGCCTCCTGGTTCATATACGCACAAACTTCCCTAGGTTGTGTTTCTCAAACCTTTACACAATCGCTTACAGAGAGGGTATTTCTAATGAGCTTCAGATGACTTCAATGCTGCTGGACCTTGGGCCACACTAAGAAATCCAGAGCTAATGGCAGGGATGGAAAGTTCCTTCAGTGAAGGGCCTGAATTGAATATTTTCAGCTTTGAGAGTCACACTGTCTCTGCTGCAAGTCTCTACCCACTGGAACACAAAAGCAGTGAGAGATAATATGTAAACAAATAGGCTTGGTTGGATTCCAATAAAACTTTATTTACAATGGACTTCATAATGGTTACCAAACCCCGATCTGTGGGAAGCTGCACACCAGCGAGTCTGTCGAGGTTTCTCAGAGAGCAAACAGTTACCATGATTGGTTCCCTTCCAAAAACCTGACCTTCGAAACCTTGCTCTGATTGATCACTAGAATCCCTCAAATTTGCATATCCTGCACCTCATGATTGGTCCAAAAGCAACCAATCATAACCCACCGTTAACAACCAATCA